TAGGTATTGGAAGTGTTACAGAACTCCACAGATATAATCGGGTTTGTGAGAAGGTCGTACAGAACCCACAGAACATTTCGGGTAGGTTCACAAATCTCTGCAGACGTTTTCTGTACTGTACTGTCGTGTCACAGAACTCGCAGAAGTTTTCTGTAGGGTATTGAAAGTGCAACAGATCTCACAGAAATATCCGGTATTGTAACGCAAGTGCCACAGAACTCAACAGAAAAAATCTGGTTTGTGCCAAGGTCGTACAGAACTCACAGAACCTCGCGGGTAGGTTATCAACTGCTCACAGAAGTTTTCTGTAGGGTATTGGAGCGTCGCCGAAGTCACATTTTCTGTAGGGTATTGTAGCATCACAGACGTCACAGAAGTGTCCGTAGGGTTTTCAAGTGTGACAGAACTCACAGACGCTTTCTGTAGGGTATTGCAAGTAGTGTGACATAACTCGTCTGTAACGTTCTGTAGGGTATTGCAAGTGTCACAGAACAGAAAATAGAAAATAGGGGGTATTTAAGCATGTTGCTCAAATGAGAGAATACTCCAGGTATATACCACCCCCCCCCCGGTCTCTCTGCATCCGGTTGTTCGCCCTGGTAACTCCACAAGGATGTGCTTGACGCGCCGAGAAGAGAGCGCCGGAAAAGGTGTGTCTTGGGCAATGAGCAACCCCGTGAGATCCCGCCAAGTTGTGCCAGATGAGAAAACGCTGAAGGGCAAAATTTTTTCCACGACCATCTTCACAGCCAGGAGCTGACGGACTCTGCCAAAGGGAACGAAATAGAAACAGAAATACAATACAATGTACCGTATCGGCACAGCATTGCAAAGGGGAGAACGGGACAAGCGTGAGATACCAACATCAGTCAGTTGGTTACGTGGTTCGCGCAGGTAAGGTTTCCTCACGGAGTACTACTGCATGCAGTACAGCAGTCACACATACACATACATGCATAGACTACATGTACACACACAACAAGCAGAGAAACCTGACGCACACACCTGTCCGTCCCAACACCCGAGTTCTTGCTCGCCGCGAAGTTTGCCGTGATGCTCTGCTTCGCTGCCTTTCTCTTCCCGTCCTTCACGACGCCACCCACCCCCTGCACTCCGTGCCCATTCTTGAGGTGCGAGTTGACGTTGCTGCGGTCGCCGCCTTTGCAGGGGATCACTTTGTTCTTGCGGCGGCACAAGGAGTCGGCCATGCAGAAAAACTGGTGCTTGCTTGTCGCTGCTCGACGCCTCGATGTACACTCGTAGCGTGTACGACTTCTCGCGTGACCCTTTCCTCACAAAGCCTGCTGGCACCGTGAAGTCATCGACTGCCTTCACCACAGCCGCGTCCACGGCATGCGGCTCCCCGTTCTTGTTGTAGACGGCTGCGGGTGCGATTACGGGCACGCCTGCATCACCGCCTCCCGCGTCAACTATCTCTACCGCTCCCTCGCGTTCTGGTGGTGGTGTTGTTGCTGCTGCTGCTGCTGCTGCTGCTGCTGTCTCTGCCCGCGTTTTGACTCCTCCCGCAGCGATCGATGATCCGCTCGGAGGGTCCGCGGTGATGGTAGAGTTAGAGCTCATGTCCCTCTCTTCCACAGCGATACAGATGCGTCGTGGTTGTTCACAATGATGTGTATGTGTGTGGTGTATGTGTGTGTGTGGTGCATGCTCACCATGATGACTTGTGTGCGAGAACCACGTGATTTGTACTTGTTCTTTTTCTGCAAATAACTGACAAGGTGCGCTTCAAGTTTGGTTGGTGGGCCTGACTCAGAACATAGAACGTACAGACGTAGCCCGGTAGGTAGGGTATTGACAGCGTCACAGATCGAACAGAAGTTTCCGGTAGGGTATTGGAAGTGTCACAGATCTCACAGAAGCGTCCGGTAGGGTATTTGAAGTGTGACAGAACTCACAGAAGAATTATGTAGGGTATCGGAAGGGTTACAGAACCTCACAGAACGTTTCTGTAGGGTATCAGAAGTGCCACAGAACTTACAGAAATATCCGGTATTGTATCGCCAGTGCCACAGAACTCAACAGATAAAATCGGGTTTGTGCGAAGGTCGTACAGATCTCACAGAACGTAGCGGGTAGGTTAACAAATGTGTACAGAGGTTTTCTGTAGGGTACTGGAGCGTCACAGAACTCATAAGGGGTTTTCTGTAGGGTATTGGAAGTGCCACAGATCTCACAGAAGTATCCGGTATTGTAGCGGAAGTACCACAGAACTCGTCTGTAACGTTCTGTAGGGTAAATACCCGGAAAAATACCGCCGGTACCTTCTGTGGGTACCCTACAGAACACGACTATAGTTGACAGCAGGCGGACCAAATCGGCCGGCCTTACGCACCCGTTTGCAACATCTGGAGGGCCAGGGCGAGAGACAAGTAGTATTTACTATATACTAGAGTGAGGAATAAGGTATGGCAAACTGGCGCAGGCAACACGTGTTCGAGGTGGCAGACACAAGAAGACCGAACCATGCCATTGTGTTCGCGTAAGGTTTAGAATGTTCCAAGGGATTTATTCTATGCTCAGCATCCGTCGGTCTTTATGGCGTCCAATGGAGGAAGCACCAACCAACGCTGAAAACAATGCGCGAAAATCGATTTAATGTACTACATTACGAGAAAGTGCGCGATGCCTATCCCCGTTTTCGCAGGAGGAACGCAGCAAGCAGCCGTCGCTGTTCAGCGTCGTGAGGGCCGCGGTTGACCTGTTCTACTACGAGGGGGACCCGCAGCTAGGACTGTACGGCGCGTTCGGGTGAGTTCACCTCTGCCTGCACAAGGAAACGAAAATACATACACACACCTCAAGTGTAGTTTTTTGCTTAAGAATCGGTTCGAAAGGTTGGTGCAACTATGCGTAGCAATTTCTGCATGCGCAATATTTTTGCGTCTCAGACCAATTTTGTGCGATATATTTATTTGTTTTGTCGTGTGTGCAGAGGAATGGAAAGCGGGAAAACCCGCGTTCTCTCGAAAAACGGTCCAATAACTACTTGCGTTCGGCGTTTGGGGTACCGCCAAACTGGAACCGCACGCACTGTTTAGTTTTACCAAGATTGGAATTCTGCGGTGAAGGGGTGTTGTGCTCGCCGCACAGCGAAGAAATTTATGCCATGGGTATGTGTATTCTTCAAGACATACGAGCTTGCCCGGTGATACAGTTCGTTGGCTCTAGGGCCATAAACAAACCCACCCAGGAAAATAATGAGGAAGATTGGTATGATTTGTAGGATTGACTTCCGTGTGTTGTTATTCTCAACGGGGGTGTTGTTGTTGTCATCGTTCCCTTTTTTCGGCTGTGTTCCCAACCTTCTCCCACACCCTTAATGAAACCCCTCCGCTATACAGTGCTAAGACATTCTCGTTTCAGGATTTTAGGTTGGATTCGCGGCTGCGCAGCAACCAATTACGTATATAAGACGAGGCAGGCACCCAAGTTTTTTAGTATTGAACGCTTCTTGGCTCAGGGAACTCACCGCTTCGAAAATCATTCCTTTTTCGTGAAGTACCTTCCTCTCCCATACCCCCATCCCACTCCGCGGCCCCCCTCCTACCGCCGTCGTTTCTCGCGTTTTTTTGTCACGCCAGCTACGACCTTACCTTCCAATTCGACTCTATCCCCCTTAAGCACGAGAGAGATGGATCCCAGAAGGACTTGCTTCTCTACCTCCCGGACAAGATGCTAGTAGTGGACCAGGCAAGGCTAGAGTTTGGCCTCTGATTTGTTCCATCTGTTTTCGTCTTTGCTGTTTTTTGTTGTTGTTTTTGGAGTACATCATATGGATGTGTTTTGCTTGTACTTTAACATGTGAATCTGAACGAGGGTCCGGACCAGTGAATCATCGGCAAACACCGAGGTACTTAGTTGTGGCCGTCTTATCATGTGTTCCTGTTGCTATTTAGTGTGTGTCCCCGGAATACTGCTGTGTTTGGTGCATTACCTTTATTCCTCTTCTTCCCCCCCCCCCCGCTGTTGTGATCGTGCCACTTTTTTTTTTTGTCGTTTTGGTCTCTGCGTTCATAAAATTAGGTGATTTTGAGTCCCGTGATCTCGCCGCTCTCATGCTCCCTAAAACACACTCGGCCGTTGTTCAACATCCGCCGCAGATTGATTTCTTTTTTCTCGACCCAAACTACTGACCCTCTCAAACTCCTCACATGGCAGTTCCCCCCTCCGTACGTTAAAGTTTTGCTTTTCTTTTTCTTTCCTTTTCTTTCGACATCAGGCGGCACTTGCCCCGATGGTTCCCTTCGAGTTTAGTTATATTTTTTGTGGTGGCCTCTTTTTTATTTTTTCTTCCAACAACACAACAATTTTCATCTCTTCCGCAGACGAGAGTGTGGGATAGATTAACAATGAATCTTTCTTTTTTTTGGGCCTTCAGGACAAGCGGGACGCGTGGAGCATCGAGTACGACTTCGCGTACGGGGGCGCGACGACGGAGGGGCTTCCTCGAGAGGGCGAGGTGGTTGCCTACAAGCCGTCCGACAAGCCGGGGGACAGGGACACGCCGCCAGGGGACTACGCCAAAAAGGTACGCATGCAAGAAAGTTGCACGAAAAAAAGAACATACTTAAAAAAAAAGAGGTACACGTGCAAGAAAGGTGCAACAAGAAAAAAATACTTGAAAAAAAAGGTACACATGCGGTAAACCCCATTGGCGTGCGCCGTCCCGGGATGCGAGGTTAATGGTCTAACGACTACGGCATGCACGGCTAAGAGAACACCCCCACCGCGCACCTGTACCTATGTATGGACGCAGGGAAATGAAATTCGTCCAAACGAATACAGATTGCGCAAGTGGGTGTAGCGTTTGCCTGTAACAATGGTGAGGTGAGGTGCGAACGTTGTGTGCATTCTCGCGGATCAAACTATTATTGGTCAGTGTGATACGCCGCGTGGCATATGCTTACTCCTCGGCATATGGGTGCACAACATATACCAATAATCGGAGTGAGGCGGTCTATTCTGCGAAGAAAGCCGACAGAAAGGACGCGCGTTGATGCTCGTGCTCCATTCCCCGCTGCCGTCCAACCTTAGGGCGGGGGCCAGTGACGGGGGTCCTAACAAGGTACCCGGGTGCAAGAAAAGGTGGTAAGGAATGACAAAACTCGTCAGCGCTTTAAAAAAGTGGAAGTACCAACGTGATGAACACAAACCTGCTTCAATATTAGGATGTTCAGTATTAAGATGAAGGCTTCGGTGATGAAATCGACGCGTGGGAGTTGTACTGCTGCGGCATCAACAATCTCGAAGGTAAGTGCGATTTATTGGGAAACGGCGCCGCTGATGGCTGCTTCTTGAGGCGAGTGGCCCATTTTTTCTCTGCAAAACACCTCGCGTTGTTTTTTGCTGTTTCTTTGTTCCAGGTGGACAAGGCTAAGCAGGAGTTTAAGGTCGGCAACTTGTTTGAGGTGGTCCTGAGCCAGACTTTCAAGAAGCCGTGCACGTCCAGGTAAAGTGGCATCAACACTTGGCACCGAAGCCCACCGATTCTGTGTGGAGAAGCTTGCATCTGCTGCCGCTGCCGCCGCTGCTGCTGCTGCTGCTGTTGCTGTTGGCGCGTGTCTTTTTAGGAGATATACATACACCCAAAGGTAGACTAAATACCCGTTCGAGATAGTACATACCACAGCCCAAGGGAATGGGTTGAAGTCTTTTCAGTGAACGGGGGGGGAAAACCTGCCGGATATGGGCTTGTTTTGAGTTGATTTACACCTTTTGTCTTTTGTTGCTGTCGCAGCTCCTGTTGCCGTTGTGGCCGTGTTCTCTCTCTCACCCGCCCCTCTGTTTGGTTGTGCCCCCGCCCCCCCCCCCCCCCACGTGTGTGCTTCGCCTTCTGTAGCCCCGCGAAAGTCTTCCGACGACTACGGAAGAGAAATCCCTCCCCCTACGGCTTCCTCATCAACTTGGGGGACCAGGTGCAACAAAAATATGTGAAAAAAGTCTCATTAAATAAACAATTGTTGAAGTTTTAGAAAGTGCGGGTGAAAAGGCCCTACTGGAATATGTAAAACGCACTACTGATGGAAAACCATTCCAAGGAATATATGTAAAACCCAACCGACAAAAAAACATCCCATCCCCAGGAAATTCGCGCTTGGTGATGTGAGAGCCTAGTCCGGTGAGAACCCGGCGTGCCTCAGTCCCGGCTTTGTAGGACTGCGAGGTCAATGTTCTAACGACTACGGCATGCACGAGTGGCTATGAGTACACCCCCCATCCCCGGGAATATCTAACAAACGCGCCGACGAAAAAAAAAAATCCCATCCCCAGGAATATCTTGTCGGCGCTTCCCCCGAAATGTTCGTCCGCTGCGAGCGCACGCGGCACGGCATCCGCGTGGAGACGTGTCCTATCTCCGGCACGATCGAGAGGGGCGCCAACCCGCTAGAGGACGCCCAGAAGATTCGGTCTCTGCTGAGCAACAAGAAGGAGGAGTCTGAGCTCACCATGTGCACCGACGTCGACAGGTTGGTTGTTGTTGTTGCTGTTGTTGCTGTTGTTGGTTGCGATACGGATGGTGATAGTGATGGTGTTCTTGTTGTGCGTATTGTTTTTGGTGAAATGCTGTTGTTGTGATCGATGCATTTGTTGTTGGATATGTAGTGGAGTTGTTGTTGTTGGTACGGATGGCGGTACTATGATGGTGGTGGTGGTGTTGTGGGTATTGGTGTTGGTGTTGTGATGATGCTGCTGTTGCGAAAGAGTGTTTTTGTTGCTGGGGAGATGGTGCTGGCCGTTGCTGTTGCCGTCATTACCATCGCCAGTTGCGATTATCGTATCGTCGATCTCCTACCACCGGTCTCGTCTTGGCTTGACCATGTCTCCTATTGATCACCAACATGTGAGCGAAGTTCTGCACTCTGGAAACTACGGGTGGCATGCGTGGTTCTGCGAGCAGTGCAGCTCAAGGTTGTTGGTCTGTTTCATCACATTCGTTCGTGCTCCCCCTCAGCCCCCCCCTCCCCCCCCCCCCCCTTCGGTCTCCGCGTCTCCCCTCTCGCCGCCACGGATGATGCCACCGCCTTGCACCTCTTTTTTTTTTTTTTGCAGGAACGACAAGAGCCGTATCTGCGAGCCCAGCTCGGTTCGAGTCCTCGGCAGGCGACAGATCGAGATGTACTCGAGGCTTATCCACACCGTTGACCACGTCGAAGGGTGGGTCGGTCTCGTGTGTCTTGTCTTGTGTTGTGTGGCGTTGCCTCTTGTTGCGTCCTGCTGTGTGGCGTGGCGAGGTGTGAAGAGGCGTTGCTTGTTTTGCCGTGGGGTGCGGTATGGTCTGGTGCTTGTTGGCGATTTTGATGCCCACATGTATACATACGACGCCACACGCCAGATCGCCTTAAAAGGTCAGCTCTAGTTTGATCGTACTGGTTACAGCTTGACAACGGCATGAGGAAATCGTCGATGGCAGAAACTCCTTGCATTCGAGAGAGAGCGAAGGACGGGGCGTTGCCTCATTTCTTGAAACAGAAACAAGCTCGACCTTTTTCTCCTTTAGAACGCGATTCGATGGCAGATATTTCTTGCGCTTGGTTGAGCGAAGGATGGGAGTTGCTTCAGTTCTTTGTTCGAAACTCGATCTCCTTATAACGCGTGTGATTCGATGCGATCCGTGTTCTGTCGGCAACCAGGTACCTCCGGAAAGGTTTCGACGCCTTGGACGCGTTCTTGTGCCACACCTGGGCAGTGACGGTTACCGGCGCGCCCAAGACGTGGGCCATCCGCTTCGTCGAGCAGAACGAAGCCAGTCCTAGGGCCTGGTGAGGGGATGGATGACGCGGAAATTGATTGATCGATCGATCTCCGGAGATTTTGATCGATCGATCTCCGGAGATGTTTGATCCATTGGTGTCCGGAGATGGTCGTTTTCCCGATTCGGTGGCCTTGTCGTCAGCAGAGTTTGGGGGTAATTTGCTGGGGTTTATCATCATTCCTCGAGCACGTACTGCTTTACAGTTATTTCGGAGATGTAGCCATATGTTGCCCAGAGACCAGTCGAACCACGGGTATTATAGGTCACACAACACTATCACACAACACTTTGAAATCGTTGCCTTCATTTATCCTGAACTGTATTTTGCATCCGTGGATACGGATGATTTTTTTGTTGCTGTTCGAAAAACAACAAAAAAAGCGGCTGGACGTAATCGATCAAGGCCGTTTTTTTTTGTGTGTGTGTTGCGTGTAGCGCTACCCAACAAGGACGAGGACGCCAACGGCAACGATGGCGACAACGACAACCGTTCGTGTGCTCTAAACAGTAAAAACATGCGTCCCTTGCCGGCAGGTACGGTGGAGCGGTTGGTCTCGTCGGGTTTGACGGGCACCTCAACACCGGCCTCACGCTCAGGACCGTCAGGGTTAAGGACGGCATCGCAGAGGTACAGCAGCACAAGTACTACTCCACCTCTTTACTGTACGCCGTATGCGTGTATATATGCCTGTCGTTTTCGGTCGCGGTACGGTATGCGATATGGCTATGTGTCGTTTTTCGTGACGGTATGGTCGGTTGGCGGAGCGGTGCTACGACCGTGGAAGGGCTGGTGCGGTACACGATATGGCATGTTCCGTTTTACGTGACGGTGTATGATGGTTAGCGGAACCGTGCAACAATGCGGAAGGTGCATGGTTAGTGGTACGCGGTACGGTGTGCGTCGTCGTTGAAGCTACGGTGGAGGGTGGGCCGTCAGGGCGAGGAACGGCGTTGTAGAGATAATCTCTTGGCGTAAAGATGTGGTGTACGTCCGCAGCAAAAAAAAAAATGGACGTGGATTTTGAAGATTTTGTTTTTCGAGTGTCGAGGCTGGCTCGGACGAATGTCGCACTTGCTCCCATCCAACAGCAGGAAATGTTGGGCTTTAGGCCTACCCGATCCGCATGTTGTGTAGGCTGTCGCCTGATACCGTAGATAATTTCATTTCTTGGAAAAGGGCGTACCACAAGTGTGTGTTTTTTCGGTACCGTATTGGACCGGTACGGCGGTACAGGACCGCCAGGCGGCAGGGACTGAAGGCATCGCAGAGGTCCTTGTGAATTGTGAATTACCAGGATACGGTAGTACAAGCATTAATGCCACCAAAAAAGCTGACAACATTTTATTCCTCGAAGTAGAATACATGCACACAACTAAAGTGAGTTTGGGTGGGCATCATCTCCTTCCCCCCCTCGTCCCTGCCCCCGCCCCCGCTCGTTTTTCTCCAAAGGTACGTGCGGGAGCGACTCTTCTGTTCGACTCCGAGCCTGCCCTGGAGGAGGCGGAGACCGAACTCAAGGCTAGCGCGATGATCGACGCCGTGACAAGGGGCGACCCGCAGCCCGGGGCCACGGGATCGGAGGTATGGTATAGTATGGCATGGCATGACATGGTATGGTACGGTACGGTACGGTACGGTATGGTATGGTATGGTATGGTATGGTATGGTATGGTATGGTATGGTGTGTGCGTTGATCGGCGGAACCCCCGCTCCTCGCGTGCTGGGGGGGTGCATGGACGTGGCGTGCGACGTGGCTGTTGCTTTGCGAGGAGCCTGGTCATGTGTTTTTTTTTTCGTTTTGCTGGGATGCTGCAGGGAGCCCCCAATTCCAACCCACCCAACCCAACCCCAGCTCCCCTCTCCACATCGTATGGCAACTTTCAGGAGGCGTTTAAGACGTCTATCAGCACCGGGGTCGGGAAGTCTGTTCTCCTCGTGGATCACGAGGATTCCTTCGTGCACACGCTCGGCAACTACCTTCGACAGACGGGGGCGGAGGTGCGTGTGTGTTGTGTTAACTATCATCGACCGCGCTTTGTGTGCTTGTGGTTGAGTTGGGCATTCGACCGCGCTAACGGGCTGACCAATGAACGTACGTCAGTCACTACAGCGACTGTTTTATTTCTCGCGTGCAGGCTTGCTCTTCTTGTCCTGAAGAGTGCTCTTGAAGCTGTCGCACTTACCGAAGCGCCCGCCATGAAGACGCCTCCGTCTAATCTTGTATCTTGTGGTTTCAGTCGCCTCCTTTTGGTGCACACCAAACGAAAAAAATGTGGTTTTGTTCGTCCACGCGTGCCTTGTTGATTTTGGGTCCCGCGTGCTCCGCAGTGGTTCAGTGTGCTTGCTCTCTTTGTGCTGAGTGGCTCTCTTGAAAATCTCACACCTAACGAAACGCCCGCCCGCCGTCAAACGCCTCCGTCTCTTTTTGTATCTTGCGATTCCACCGCCTCCTTTTTTCGTGCACATAAAAAAAACGGAACAGTGTGATTTTGCTCGTCCTCGCGTGTTTTTGGTTGTTTTCTGTCCCGCCTGCTCCTTTTCGTGCACGCGCAAAAATAACGAAACGAAAAGGTGAGCACTGTCCGCAGTGGAGACCCCCTGGTGGCGTACCTCCGGGGGGTTCGCAAGGGGAAGCAGCCCTACCCTGACCTGGTGGTGCTCTCGCCGGGCCCCGGTAACCCGTCGGACTTCGGTTTGTCCGGCACCATCCGAGAGGCAAGAGTTTTTAATCACCATCTTTTTTTTTTTCTGTCGTGAGGTGGTGGTGTTTTTTTTTTCTCCTTTTTTGGCTTGTTGTTTGTCACCATTTTTTTTTTTTCTGTCGTGAGGTGGTAGTGTTTTTTTTTTCTCCTTATTTGGCTTGTTGCGGGATGTGTGTGCAGAGAGGCAAGCTGTGTTACGTTTTTATGTACGGTTTGCTATCTCGCATGAAGCGGTGGTGTTTGTGGAGAAGAGAGCAAGCTTATTTAACGCTACGGCAGCTAAGTGTGATGAGTGTGTATTTTTCACGGCCATTATTGTCGTACTTACACGCAATTGCAGGATTTTTTTTTTTGTGTTTGTGTCATCTACCGTCGCTCGAAGTGTATCCCGACCGTGCGTGTTCTGTTCATGTACCTGGTAGATAGACAAGGTATGCTTTGTTGTTTGTACACCATGCAGCAACATATACTTGTCCTTGTATTCTATCGTTCGTGTGTGTTTCATCCCCCGATACGTGTTGCGTGTATCCCAGCCGGTGGATACTTCTGCCCAAGGTATCTCTGCGCTCCGCACCTGTCTGATTCACCTCGTTGTGTTTTGTTTTGTCTGTGCACTGCTGTAGGATAAAGGGGCCCCGGTGTACGAATACAAGCACGCACCACTGGCAAACCCCGTTATCGTTTCTCGAATATATATTTTTTCTCATCTCCCCACGCGGTTCCTTTTTCTCCCGACTCCCGCTTTTTCCAGATGTTGGACCTCAAGGTGCCGGCGTTCGGGGTTTGTCTGGGGCTGCAAGGCATCGTCGAACACTTCGGGGGAGAGCTTGCTGTGTTGGATTATCCTATGCACGGGAAGGTATGACGCACCCACCTTGCTGCGACAGATAGACAAGACAAAGAGAGAGAGGGAATTGATGGTTGTATGGTGGACGTACGTATATTGTGACGCACTTTCCTCCCCAATCAGCGCTCAGAAGACTACATGGCCGTGTTGATGAACGAGTCCCCCCCCCCCCCCGCCTGCGCCCTCGCTGTGCCGACCCTTGTTATTTCAGCCGTCGACGGTGTCGTTAGTTGACCGTGACTCGCACTCTCGGGCAATATTTGAAGGAGTTCCAGACTCCTTCGAGGTTGCTCGGTACCACTCTCTCTACGGAGCGAGGGAGGAGATGCCGGACGTCCTGAGGCCGACGGCGGAAACAGCGGACGGGGTAGTGAGTGTTTTTTTTTTGTTTTTTTTGTCGTGCAGATAGCGATAAGACCCTGTGCTTTTTGTTGAGGCTGGGGTTTCTCTGGCTCCTAGGGTTGTGCTACGAAATGGCCGCTATATAGGTTTTAGTGTCGGGGTTCTCAACCGAACTCACAAGGGGTGCGCAAGTTATTGTGTTTGACAGCATGTTGGGCATAAAAATAGTCTTAGCTGCCACGTCTCTCAGGCGCGGGCACTATCTACATCTGAGACCGTCGGAGACCACTCCTCCGGACACACTCCTCTGGACACATCGCTGTTTCTGAACGCTTTGTGCTCTACGGGACCCCGGGGGCACAGGCTGGGAAATAACGCCGTGTTCAGAGTGAGTGCTTGCCAAAGCAGACGGCACGACGTCACCCCGGTTCTATCTCTATCCAGGCGTTGCTATCCACTGCGTGCATCCACGTGCTCTGCTGTGGCATATTTTGCCCCTGCAGTTGATTGCGCACGTACTTTTGTGTTCCGCTCCATTGGGCTCGAGTAGCCGCCTCCGTCGCCGAGGTCTCTACGATTCTACGGGACCCCTCTCCGTGGTTTTGTACACGCTGATTGGTCGGTGACGAGAGGGCCTCCTCTTGCTTTTTTGTTGTTGTTGATTTGTGTCTTTGACATGTTATGGATGTGCGTGACTTCTTGATGCAGCAATCGAGCGCGCTACTCTGTGTCAGTAGTCGCAAATAAATGCCGGTCGTGTTGTGCGTGTGTAGTTCTCACCCGTGAGATCCCCCCCGCTCTTTTACCTCTTTGTGTTTTTTTTTTGTGTTTTTTTTTTTTTGTGGCAGATTATGGCGATCGAGCACAAGGAGCTTCCTTTCGCCGCCGTGCAGTTCCACCCGGAATCCATCCTCACGGACCCTAGGACGGGATTGACCATCCTCGCCAACTGCTTCCGCCACTTGCGATACGACGACGCCAAGAACGAGCAGTAGGGACAGGGACAAGGTGTGTAACCTTTTCGCTTCCGGCAGGCCGCGTGAGCGAGGTGGGGGCGGGGAACGACATCAGGTACTCCTACCGCTGCAGCAGGAGCAGCTGCAAGCACTACGGCAGTGCACGCCCGGCCGACTTGCGGGCAGGGCGGGGGGGGGGAACTCTTAGGCTATCCTATTGCACCGCGAACACGTCAGCAAAGGACGAGGTTACTCACTCGCGAGGATGTGACCTCCGTCAAGTGCTCTCTGTCGGAAGGGCTGTTGTCATTGGTGCTGGGAGACAGAGGGATAGCAAACGAAACACCGGTGACATGGCGAAGAATAAACCAGTGCTCTTGACGGAGGATGCTGGCCTGAGGCGATCTGGTCACACTCCCGAGTACTTGCTAGGTTGCGATGTGTTAGGGGCGGCGTTGTTTTTGGTGTGTGCCAAATCTGCACGCTCTCTCTGTCTCTCTCTCCCTCTCTATTTTAAGTCGTTTGCTGCCGGAGAGTCTGATTTGAAGCAGTGGGCGGTCGAGCGATGTCAGAGTTACTTGTGTGTGTTTCTTTAATTAGCATCGGACCGTGCTGCTAACCGGTTGACCAATGAAAAGGCTTAAAAACTGTGTGTGTTGGTTTTGTGAGTGTACTTCTGCTGTGTGCTTGACGGCGTGGCGCAAGACGTCTCTTTTTTTTACCGTTGCGTGTTCGTTTTTTCGGTTGTTCGTTGGAAGGCCGAAGGGGGGGAGGGAGCGGGGCGTTGATTCGTCTAGGAAAAACAAACAATAGTAAACATGTACCACGGGATGGTCGTACCGTGGTATGCACAGGAGGGCCGCTACTACAGCAGTAGAGCAAATAACGAGACTCACTCGTCGTGAACCAAGGCCCGGCCCGGCCTCTATGATGCAGGTGGCGGCTCCGTTTGGTTCGAACGCCACCTCAGGCACTTGCATGCTGCGTGTGAGGGAAATAACGAGGAGTGCTTGAAGACAGGGTTCTACTCTCGGGTGGCCCAAAAGACAAGGGCCAACATAGCAACATAACCTCCTCCGCGGGTGAGAATGCGCGACACCCACTACATACACCTATCTCATACCGGTACCGCCCTAAAAACAACAGCAGTTCATTCCTCCAGTCATTCGTACAAGAACGGGGGGGGTGTTCGCCTAGCTGGTGGTCAGCCGACGACAACGAGCCGCCTGAATCAGTAGGGGATCGCGGTGATACCGGCTGCAGACGTACGGCTAATTGTTGCCACAAAGATTGTGTGGTGAACGTTGAGTGGGTGTGCGGATCGTCTGTGAAAGAAAATTTCGGACCTCCGAGACCCCCGCGAGCAAGTGGGGGATCGCAGCAGTAGTAGCGTACGTGTACGTATATAGCAAGTGGTCATTTGTTCGCTTCATTTTTTTTCACACAGACTACACGTACCACAGTGAGCCTCCGAAGTGAGTGTCATCAAAACCCTTAGACTACTAAATTTTAGTTTCGCGAACTGGCATCGCTACTTGTAGACTACATGTATTATACACTGTAGGTCGTTCTTGGAACTTTTCGGTCCAAAAAATTAGTTGATGACAGTCTGTAGTCTACACAGACAGACAGCGGGAATCAACAACCACATCCAAAAAACCACCGAAAATAACCTGCACTATTATACTGCTGCACGCAGCGTCGCTTGCGTCCTACAGCAGTCCCACCTCTAGAGTGACGTGCAAGTGGCGGATGTCGACGACCTTCTGGGACCACATCACGTCCCGGTCGCCGGTGAAGTAGTTAGTTGATGATGGCGCCTCTGCCGCCCGTGATCACGAGAGGGCTGTGCCCTCCACGCCGGCGTTCATCGTCACGATCGGCTCGAGGTAGGTCCCGTCTGCCAAAGATATGATGTCGCCGGCGCCGGCCACCTCTAGCGCTGCAGTGAGCGTCATGGGATTGCCGTCGGGGGACACCTCGTACATGGCGGCGTTGGTGCTGGTGGCGAGGACGGCGAGCGCTGCTGTGGCGAGACGCAGGGCAGCGCCGCCTGCTGTCTTGTTGGTGCATGAAGAAGTCATGGTAGCGCGATGAGCTTCTTCTTGGGCGAGATAGAGGATATGGTACAGCAGTACTGTAGAGGTGAGTCTCGAAGAGGTAGAGGATGGCAGGAGGGGGAGGAGAGTGGAGAGGATCAGGGGGAGAGTGAGAGAGTGAGAGGGTGTTGTGTGAGAGGGGGGGCACAGCCAGAAGTTGTGGATACAACGGTAAATTAGTCAACGCACCCATTCCTACTGGTTTGGGTACCACGTTCCAGAACTTGGCCGTTCGCTGCGGATCCGCACATACATGTTGTTCTGAAATTGATCTTCTTTCATTCTTTCGGTGAGTTCTGAATCCTCGTCGGCCCAATCTTTGGTCGGTCTCGCCCTCTCGTTTTCTTGTTCGTTGAGGTTCGCTGGGCAGTTCGATCGTAAACAACAACTGCTCATCTAGACTTTCTGTAGATGGATACGGATTTATTGTGTTATAGTAAATGTGAAGACAAAATATATATATATATACCGAGCGCGGCTGTCCTGCTGGTGTGATGGCGCCAATCAATCAATGTGATGGCTTGTCGTTATTATGCCGCACAGACCTTATTTTCAAAGCTACAACAACAGGAGTACAGCAGTACGTCTACACACAACAGCGGTCGTAGTCCCTCCGGAGTGGTGCAATGCACTAGGGAACCTCTGCATTACGGGACCGTTTCCCAGAACAGTGCAAGGGAACCTCTGGATTAGGGAACCTCACCCCCACCAACGTTGGTGGAACGCTGCATTAGGGAACCTCAACCTGAAATTGGCACGGGAACCCCACACAAATGGGGATACGATCAGATGTCGTAATCAACATCAGCCTTTGCATTTTAGGGAGCCTCACCCCAGTAGATTGGGCTCATGAGAGCACAGCAGTGTCACCCGAGATGCGAGATGAAAACGAAAGCAGGTAGCAAGAACAAACCCATAGCTGGCTGCCAGCTGCCAGCTGTGATGACGTTTCCCAAGCTCAACAGCTCAGAAGGACTCATGACTCACATGACTCGAATTTTTATTTTTATTTTTTTCTTAATTTGTTTTTTTTTGTTCTTCACTTCAAATCAGCGCTCACAGCACTAGTGCCGTTTATTCCAACCCGTGGTCACACTTAATATGACACAACGAAACCATCTCTATCATAGAAAAGAGTCTGAGACAGATTAGCAATGGATTCATAGCGTCAGAAAGTACCTGTATGTCTACGATTTCCCAGACAGCATATAGGGACATCTCCGTTTCGAGAGGTTCGCTGGGCTTTTCGTCGAAAAGCCCAGCGAACCTCTCAACGAACCTAAAAAAGTACCGTATCGGGGTCATATGTGCTGCCGTCGGCCCGACCTCTTTGGTACACATATGCATACAGGCACACACCGTGGTCGCGGTTCGCTCGCTCATCTCGAGCATAGATCCAGGATTCGCCCACCCTCCTTTTCGTACATACGCTCTCACCCCACACACCTTGCTCGCGTCAACCCGAAGGAGTCTGACAGTCCCGACGTTCGGTTCAACAATGGCAACATGTATCGAGCCGAATTATTGGTTCAACTTGCTCGTCAGCCCTGAAGATCCGCAAGAGGTAATCAAAACATCAACACGCCCCGCTAGTTCACAATTCACATTGCTCACGTCCCTCTTCTCTTATATATCTTCGAGATAGCTTGATTGGAAGAGAACTACGTGTTTGGTTAGAAGGTGAGCACATTGCACGGTACAGGTGGCAGATCAATTCACTGCTGCTGTAGATGTCATCGATTGAATTCCTTCTCAGCTCTTGGGTCACCCCCCCCCAAAAGGATAGTCTGCATGCACACAGCAGTGTAGTTCTATGCACAAGGTAATGATGTGACCACCAATCTGTCTCCCCGGTGAGTTTATTCTCCACAGATACTTGGAACTATACTGTATGTATGATGTTGAGAAAAAGTCCAGCGCTCGGTGCTAATGTACAGTCTACGACTGTAGTACAGGACGAGTACATATAGTAGTGCATGACAACTACTTCTTGTCTTAGACTACGTAAATATTGCCGAAGAAGGTGGGCAGATCAATGCCTTGAATGTCCTCCCTATCCTCCGACCTACTGTGTCTAAACCTACATCGCGACCGCGGCGCCGTTACACCTGCTTATCTTAGCACAATGGTATTCGTGACAAGCGCTGCTTTTCGGCTGGTGGTGGTCATCTTTGCCGCTGCGATACCGGTTGTGCAAGGAGTGCAGAAAGCACTTGAATTCTGCCACCCCCAAAAAGACAGGTGAGACACCGCTTCTCGATAATACTGTACTACAGTAGCCCACGCGCAGTCTCGACTAATGCTTTTCGTGCCGACCCCAAATCGCGCACCGTTAACCATGCTGCAAGCATCTATGAACGAACGAACCCGTCCATGTTGTTAACTTCGACAGCGACTTCAAGGACCAAGATCATGAAGACGTGCAGGACAACCAGGAGTTGGCGCCGGCGGCACCGGAGGAGGTGATGGTGACGTACGGCCAGGTCATTATAGATCGGTGAAGGGGAGGCGAAGTGTTCTCTAGTTGACCCTCTCTTGTTGTCCGACGCGTCACCACTCACAGATATTTCCAACTCTCTTTGTAACTCGTTTACATAGAAATCTAGTCGCTAATCCTCACCCAGCTGACTTACTGACACGCAACAGATCCCGGAGGGGCAGCAGCAGCAGCAGCAGCAGCAGCAGCAGCAGCAGCAGCAGCAGCAGCAGCACCATCTGGTGCGAGCCGGCCATGCTGTTGCTTCGTCGAAAAGGTTTGTAACAGTTGTTATTCCGCCTCACTCAGCGCTTGTGTAACCCCACAGTATCGCCCTGCTTACACGCTCTTAGGGATTTAGGGCATCCCCCAGAAGGGAGGCCTAGACAAATGCTATGGGCACTTGAGAACGAAGGATATTGGTGTCCGATCGTAGACTTCATACTGTACGAAACCACTAACCAGGAGAATAATCCCCCCCGGCACCCACTCTCCCTGGCATGGGTCTCATTGCTCGCAATCACAGGGGCATCAAGAACGGTAGCAACTATTGTTACCTCAACGCCAGCATTCAAATGCTGCTGGCGTTGCCAGGGGTCAGGACTATGGTGTTCCAAAGCATGTCTGGCATGGTCCCAGGTGAGAATTGAACAGAGGAATGAATCTGGCAACAAAATCGCAAAACTTAATAGTCTACGCTGTGTTCTCCTCGTGCATGATGACACAAAATGACAACGAACTCCATCAAAATATCCCTTGAGTGAACGCTGGTGAACTGATTTTGTGATGTGACCGGCCGGCCGTGTATTTCGAGATAATCATCTTATAGTTTTTCCTCTCAAGAAGAGGTCTGTCTCCTCCGCCGCGTATCAACGCGTCTGAACTCGATGGCGTGATTGCCCTAGCCTTTAACACACATACATACATACATAAACACAGGTCAACCGGAGGAGGATCAAACACACGATGAGGCCTTCAACGGCAGTAAATAGTTTCCTCCTTCGTTGAAATAAGTCTCTCAAAACATGACGGGTACTTTGTACCTCATGTTGTTGCAAACACCGCAACAACCAGTCCTAAAAAAAATGAACGTTCCCCACTGGGTGCTCCCTCGGTGGTTGATCTATTCCTTTTCTGACAGGCAACGATGTCGACACGAACAACACCTGCCCCACAAAGGAGGACGTGATGAAGGTGATAATGGCGGCGAAGAGGTTCACAGAACGAGGGGGCACGCGTGCAGACGGAGACACAGTGCTCATGGCGAAGAGGATCACCGTCCACGTCTTGGGATGGGCCTTTAAGGTGGGAATACCAACGAACACAATAAAACTTACGATGATAACGACAACCTTATAGCAAACAACCGTAGTACACACAGCACACTACAAACGAGAGGGCATCAAGCGGAACCAGGCTGGGGAGTACTCGGGGAAACCACGCATGAGCCGAATGCTCAAGTTGAAGGAGCCCCATCGTATCCTAACCCAAGACGTAGTAGGGAAAAAAAAATCTCCAAAACATCAAGATAATAGTACCTGAACATCGTTCGTTGCATCATGCTGCGACTAATTCGTGTAGTGGTATGCACGCGTGATGAAGTCTGGTTGACCCGTGAAGAAGAACTCACTTGTTGTTACTCTTGTAGAACAGCAGCAGCAGTAGCTGTTGCCTTGGGTATCGGTAGGAATGACACCAAGGGGCACAGGATCCTCTGCACAAGTAGGGGCTACTAGATCATGTCCCCTACTTTTTATCCTTCCGCGGAGAGTTACATCTCTCCGCGCCTTCTAGAAGGAACCAAGCTCTTCTATGTTCCGTCTACACATCTGAATCCTATAACACTAGCCCACCCTGGAGGTTCTCATACGCAGATACTGTAAAACCTCGAGTCTTGACAAGCAATTGTCGAGTCTCTAAATGAAAGTATCGAGGATGTGGAGCTCCAAAACAGCACAATTCACCCTCCCACACCTCTCACTCGATGAGTCGCAAGACCATCGTTTGACTTCTAAAACGACAAAAAGACACAGACAGGAAGGAACTGACGGGGCTAAGAAAAGCCTACGACGACCGGAAGAAGATCGGAACCAAAGAAAGGAAGACACAAAAAAAGGAAGAAAAACAGAAAAGAAAAACAGAAAAGAAAAACAAAGGTCGTCAAAACGACAAAAAGAAAGGGTCACTGCAGGAACCACAACAAGACCGGTATCGTAAGAAAACGACAAGATACGCCATTCACGCAGTCGCCACGGCAGTGTAGAAGGGGCATCAATGGGCGCGAAACACCTACAGGTCGTGACCAAACGCTAAAGGCACAAAATAAAGCGCGGAGAAAGCGAAAACCAACCAAGGCTAAAAAAAAACAACCCAAACAACGCTGAAACAACAGAAAGCCAAGACAACTAGCACGTCGTCTTAATGTGGGCGCGCAACGTTATCAGGCAACGAATCAGTCCCGGGGTCACCACGCGACATGTCGACGTTGCGAAGGATCCCCTTAAAAAGGGCACTGCCGCTGTGAACTTGGAGGCACCAGGATCCGGAGACGGCGGTTTCAGCGGTGGAGTAGCGAACATCAGGAAGGGCGAGCTTGACAGGGCCAGGATCGTCCAAGAAGCGGACGACGTAGAAGTCGGACGGTAGAGGCGGTCCAGTAATCTTGCCCAACCACCAGAATCCATCGCGAGCTTTGTACCAGAAGAAGGCGCCTGCAGGTAGCGGAGTATTGGCGAAGCGACGGTCCCAAGTTGAACGAGAGACGAGCGAATAACCCGAAGGCAAAGCTCGCTCCCCTTTAGCGCGCGCCATCTCGCGGGTGGCCGCACCAATACGCATAGCCCGATAGCGACGATTCGTTTGGCGATGTTGATCAGGCGAACCCGTCCAGTACCGGAGAATGTGGGGCTTGGAATGCTGGAGGTCCATCTCACGTTCCCAAGAAGGACGAAGAAGACCTTTCCAATGCGTTTGGTATAAAACAGCGATGGTGCCACCACGGCCACGAACAGACTGATGGCCACTAATGCGGTCAACCTCGAGACGTTCGACCGGAGTCGACACGTCGTCTTCCGTAACATGGTAGGGAGGAGATTTATTCGCATAGGAGTTTAGCACATACGGTGTAAGGCCGGCAGGCAGGAACCGAGGCAAGTCTTCAGTGTCATGCGGATTAGCGCAAGGCTTGCAACGCGCAACTGATACACGGTTTTTCGAGTCCGGACCCGGCAGATCCGATGGAAGATCCAAATACAGTAACTTGGAAGCCAGAGGACAACCGTCAGGAGCGTCAGGACACGGACCCACGGCCAAGATCTTGAACTGACCAGTCCAAAGGAAAGACAACTTAGCCTTGAGGACCTTGTCATCCGTGCCTGAACGAACACCTTGGCGAATGGTAGATTCGGTGTTGTACACCCAAACCCATCCACCGACGGTGTATGAGGGGACCTTGCGCAAAGCATCCGATAGAGCGGAGTTACGCCGCTCAATCCTCGAAACGGACAGGTTGCGCTGTTCGCGAACTAAATCGTAAGAACGACGTTGGCGATCAGCAGCAAGATCGCAATACTCAAGTTGATCGCGATGCAAGCTTTGGTGGCCTCGAGCATATGGATGCTCAAAAACCGTCATCGGCATGCGTGGCAGTCGGTTCATATGCACCTCGTTGGGCGCCAAACCAGTAGCGGCACTAACCGAATTGTTGTAGGCAAACTCAACGTGCGGCAGATGAATGTCCCAATCATCTTGCCTCTCATTGACGACCATAGCCAACATCTGAGCCATAGTGTGATTTACGCGCTCCACACCCCCATTGCCGTTGGGATGGTAAGAGCTGGTAGCCACTTTGCGTATAGCCAGACGGGCGTATACAGCCTGCGACAGTTTAGAACAAAACTGAGAGCCATTATCAGACAAGAGACTCAAAGGGCAACCCCATAAAGGGATATACCGATTGACAAGTACGTCAGCGGTGCCTTCGGCGGTGAATTCTGCAGCCGTAACCGCGTACATGTCAGCACGGCGGCTGAAACGGTCAGTGAAAAGCAGAATATATGTGTTTCCGCGCGGTGTCAACGGGAGGGGACCGAAATAATCGACGCTCACCGATACACCTGGGCCCGAAGGCAGCGGAAGGCACAAAGTAGGCCATCGAGGCGTTTGACGAGATGACTTGCGAGCTTGGCATCGCAAACAATGCCGTACCCACCACTTCGTGCAAACACTCATGCCAACCCACCAATAAAAACGTTCCAGCATGCTAAGCGTGCGAGCGGCACCGAGGTGGCAGGATGCATCAGCGTGACAGGCTTGCATGATCCACGGACGCATGAGCATGGGAACATAAATCCGAATGGGTTTGTCGTTGAGAAGGCGAGCAGCACGCCCGCCAGGACGTGTGGTCGTAGACGACGGGGGCGCTGTTTGCTTGCGAACAAGCAAGACCAAACCATCATCGCCGACATGTAACTGGCCTTTGTTAGACAGGTCACGAATCTCCGACAGAGGAGGTCGACGAGCGGACGGAAGATGATCCAGGAAATCCGGAGGGAGAGCCGAAGGCCGACCCAGAAGGATGAAACGAATAGCTGCATCACAAACAGGTTCGTTACGTTGCTCGCGAGCCCAATCAGCATGCGAGAAACGTTCGACAGACGCCCGGAAGGCTAAATCTGCCGAGGAATGTAAAGCCGCCTCGATAGAAGAGGGGGCCGATTCCTGAGGCTCCGGCGGCAATCCACCCGAAGGCAGAGTAGCAGCGGAAACCGAAGACGAAGGCGTATAAGTGGTCGAAACCAAATGCGTCGAAGATTCCGAAGAATCGGGAGCAGCAGAAGACTGCTGGGCAGGAGCAACCGAAGTTGCAGGATGTGTCGAAGACGCAAGATCCCTTCCACGAGCCAGAGGCGTATGGAGGTCTGGGATCGAAGTGTCAGCACCAGGAGCCGAAACCAACCTGGTCAAAACGGGGGGCGCCGTCGATGCTGATTGTGCAGGCGGGGAACGTCGAAACGATCTGGGCGAAGCGGAAATCCGAGTAGGAGCCGGCGGGTCCTCAGAGAAACCATAATCCACGGGCGGGAGGGGCGTGCCTGCCACAACCGCCGTGCGACGGCGAGTTCGCGTGGAAATCAGTTGAGTAGGGTCGAGAGTCCGTCGTGATGCTGCAGTCGGCGAGACGGCCGGCGAAGACTCGGGCTCGAGAGCCAAAATGTCCTCCACCGAAGAATGTAAGGAGCCAGACCAACCGAGGGTCCTGTCACGCAAGCGTCGTAGCGAAGGAGACAACCCGCGGGAGTTGATGGACGGCCAGGGTGCAATGTTCCAGATGCCAGACGGAGACGAAAGGCCTGACGGCGAGAGACGTGGACCATGCCGACGGAAGTCGACAAAATCATCTGTAGAGGGGGCCAGCCCACCCAAGACCGAAGTCGGGGAAGTTGGGACGAGCCCACCCAAGCCAACACCCACGGCGCGATGGCCAGAAGGCGTAAGGCCACAAGAACGGATGAAGAATACGCTCTCCTCATCGTCATCCGGTGTCAAGCGACTGCGACCAGATCGGTCACATTCCGCCGCATCGATCGGAAGGCGAGAGAGGAAATCAGCGTTGCCATTTGCGGAACCCTTGCGGTACTCGAGAGTGTAATTGTAGGCGGTAAGAAATTCAAGCCAACGCTGAACGCGGGCATTATTCTCCCCCACCTTGGCAAAATGCTCAAGAGATTTGTGGTCGGTAAAAATGCGAAATTTCGTGCCCCACAAATAACCGCGAAGTCGTTTGATGCACCATAATACGATGCTACCCGCCTCGAGGTCGAGGGGAGTCCAATGACGTTCGGAGTCCAAAGTAGCTCGGCTGATGAAAACGATGGGCCGGATGGAGCCATCCGGCTGTTCTTGTTCGAGAGTCCCGCCGAACCCATCGCGACTAGCATCACAGTAGAGGCGAAAAGGTCGCGAGCCGTCCGTAACGGCATCCCAATCTGGATAAACCAAGACAGGAGGGTTGGCCAACTCAGACAACAGGACGCGAACAGCTTGCTCCATGGCAGGGGTGAAGGCGAACGTCGCCTGCTTCTTGAGAAGAGTGGTCAAAGGTCGAATTCGCGTAGCCATGTTGGGAAGGAACTTGCGGTAGTAGCTGAGGCCGCCGAGAAGAGAGCGAAGTTGTTTAACATCCTTAGGCATGGGCATTTTGGTGAGGGCCGAACACCGTCAGGGGAGATGGTGTGGCCGAGGAAATCCGCTTCGGTAGCGCCAATGGTGGCCTTCGGTGGGGTGAGTTTCAAGTTGTGTGTGCGCAAGCGTTCAAACAGAGCGCGCATGGTATCAACATGAGAAGCCGGGTTGTCGTCGAAAACGATCAAATCATCCAAGTACGATGCAACACCGTGGAGATTTTTGATGACTTCGTTGACCACCTTGCAAAACCACCCAGGGGCA